TTTCAAAAGAGTGTTTGGTGATTAACTATTTTTAATCAGCTGTTAACATGTAAAATTACTTACATGGACATCTATTCTTTTATATTCTTGTTTATTTAAAATTATAATTATATTGAAAATAACTATTACTTATATTTAAAATATTTGTAAAACGGCTTAATATAACATAACACAAATAAGAAATTGTTACAATATATAATTGTGAAGTAAAAAAAGTTATGAAGATTTTAATTTGACATGATAACAAATATTCAAATAAAAAATAAAATAAAATACATAAAATGTAAAAATTCGCATATCAATTATCAGCGTTTAGTCTTACTCTTCCTCTATAAATTTGCACATAATTCATCACTCAATCTTTCGTTTTTATTTTTATATTTACAGAACACCTAATTCACTTAATTTCAAATGTCAATGGAGAAATTTGAGTTCATTTATAATCTCAATTTTATTTTTAATCCAATATATTAATGCAATAAAATGTAAATCTATTTTGTAAGCTAACTTTGATTTTTAACCCAAATATGCTAGTGTGTTAAAATAATATGAGGTAGAGTTAATGTAGTAGAGTTAATTAATGACAAATATGTCATTTTATATTTTTTCCTCAAAAAGCTATTTGAAAAAGCTTCAATTTGTAGCTTTTTGAAAAACAGCTTTTAGATCAAAAAAGCTATTTCAAAAAGCTATTAACCAAACATTTTAAAATTGGAGGTTTTAAAAGTCAAACATCTATTTTGTTCAAAAAGCTAATTTGTGGCTGAAACGCCATTAAACAAACATGGCCTTAGTCAAATAACATAAGCACTTTCTCATTTTCGTCCAGTAATTTAGTCGGATTCGAAATTGGTTTAAAAACTCTTATATTTTAGCCAATTTAGTCCTATTCCGACCTCAATTGCCAAAATCCGATTAGAAGTTGCTGAGTTGGCGAATTTCAGCGGCGGCTTGGCTGATGTGGATTTATTTTCGACAAATTAATTGATGTGGAAATTGTAATTTTTTTCCATGTCATTTTTCCTTAAATTATATTAATTCTAAGATTAAAAAATTCATCTCCCTCAATACCTCCAAAACCGTCAGATTGCTTCCCCAATCTCTATCACCACCCAGGCTCGTCGCGCCGACGAAACGCGCACTGCTCGACCTCTCCAGCGCCTTGCCCCTGAGAATCTAGAAGCTTAGTTGTATGCTTCTCCTCATCGAAGTCTTGTGGTCCGGTAAGTTAATCGAAATCCTCAACCTCGATCTTGCGATTTATGATGCCTGAGGATGCTTTTGGGACGGTAGCTGGTGGATTTGGACCCTCTCTGGTCACGGTTGAGCTCCATCGGTGAGGTGTCTGACGATTTGTCTGTTAAGGGGGTCGTCAATGTAGCAGTGTTGAACGTGGCGAAACGGATGGTCCTCGGGGAGCGGGGGTCGGCGACAGCGGTGCTATGGTGGATAAATGCGGAAGAGGCGACAATAGGGTCATTTTGATTGACGACGAGCGTTTCGAGTTGGATTTCTCGAGGTTCTTCACAACGACTAGTAGGTTTTTTAACATGAGTAATGCTACAAATACATAATAGTGTACATAAGAGTGTACATAACACTCACATTGAGTGGGACCTACTAAAAATACAAAATCAAGTGGACCATATTCCATTTGAGTGTTATGTACATCTTTATGTACATTTATTATGTACATGTAGCATTTTCCTTTTAACATTCAAATCATAATAACTTAAGGTAAAATGATGTGGAAAGAATGAAAGTGTCCACATCACTTAAATTGCCAGAAATTAATCCATCAGCCTAGTCAGCGCCAAAATTTGCCAACTCACAGGTCTTACGTGTCAAATGGAGTAGCAGTTCGTGAAATTAAATAATTGAAAATGCTACAGTGTTCAGAACTGCTTTATATTATATATAGACTTAGAATATATATATATAGGTTAATTACTTAAATTTGTAACTACATAAATATGATAGATAATAATCAATGAAGATTAACTCACTTTTATTACTTGTATTTTATATATTAGTTTTATTATAAGTATTAATTGTAATAGTTTATCATCTTTGCAAAATGTAATGCGTAAGAACAATCGTCCTATCTATTTACTATCTATTTACTATATAATTAGGCAACACACTTACTAAAAATAGTAATAAGTGTTTTAGTGGGTCCCTTATCATATTATTATTTATGGAAAGTGAGTTTCAATCTTTTTTCTATTATTTTGTTAATTGTTACCTTGCGTTAATTTTTTTTTTTCATTTTTAATAATAGTTTAATAGTAAAAGTGGACCTAAATTTTTTGTCATTTACAGATAGGTAGTTTAAAATGTTTTTTTTTTTTATTTCTCATTAATATCAAAGTAATTTTCTTTTTACATGTACATAACATGTTGAATCAAGGTGAATTATTTATGATGTGTATTAAATAATAATATATATTTATATCCTTCCTTAAAATATGAAGATACTATATAATATTATGGTACTTATTACATAAAAGAATGGTTCACAAATAAAAAATTTGTAATTACATGTATAGAAAATAATAGAATGCATAACCACACATGCTATTAGAAGGGTTTTTTTCTTCTAAAATAATTTATTTTTAATTAAAAAAAAAGTTGAGATTGTATTTATACATGCAAAAACAAAATGTTCAGAATGATAACAGGATAAAAAAAATATATTACAAAAATATTAAAGCATAACAATAATTTGGATAAAAGATCATCCTACATATTAATAGTGCATAAATATATTTTCAATTTTAAGATAAGTGAATTAGTACTGGTGAAATCGTGGAAAAGTTGGGGTCCCATAACCACCACAATTTAGATAAACTAGCAAACTGAGTTTGCATATATGTTCACATGATACAACTACTAATATTTAAAACCTCAAATTTTAATTTCTATTTTAATGATGTTAATATGATAACATAACATAATATTGAGAAAAATAAATCAATTACGTACACCATATAGTACATAATGAACAATTAAAGAGAAAGATCTTTATTGTTTAACTATCAACAAAATTTTGAGAGAAATCCATGAATTTTAAAGTGAAAGAGACAGAGAGGGAGAGAGACAGAACATATGTTCAAAGTTTTTAAGGAACAAGAAAATAA